ATTAACATATAAATAAATTTATCTGTTTTTTTTTTTTTAAATAATTTTAAATTTAAATAAATATTTTGGTTAAATTATTTTTCAAAATTTATCCAATTGAAAATTCGGAAAATACAAAATGATAATATTTCATATACAACATGGCTATTTCAAGATCATTTTAATTTTTTTTTAATTCAAAATTTAATATGGGCGAAATCTTACTTTTTGCAATTGTCTAATAATATAACTGAGCGGCTTAGCCTTAAAATTGTGAAGCATTCATAGAAAAATTTAATAAATTTGTTCAATTTCATCTGAACAAATAAATAATATATTTAATAATAACATTCTTTTATTGGATATATGTTTGTAAATTTTTCTTGTAATAATATTTTATTCTATTCGCTGTCAATGTTTGCATATTTATGGAATCTCATTTATATTGATAATAATATCTTATTTATAATTGCATTTAAACAGATTCTTGGATATTATATATCTTTATTTCTTCCGTTCCAATTCTCGAAACTGTAATTATTCAATTCCCATTTCAATGCTTCCTCAGATTTCTTTTTAACTTAAATGATTTGAATGCGATTGATCCTGAATGTCCAAGATTATCTATAACTATATATTCAATTTCTTCAATTGAATTAATCTTAAATTTTCTAACAGGACTATAATTATAAATTACAAGGATTCCTGATTTTTCCAAAAGGACAATTCGTCTTAAAAAAAAGATAAAAAAATAAATATAGTCCTTTCAAACAATTTTAAAATTTCTTTTCCATAATTCTTTGTGCCTCCTTGACGTGTTGTCTTTAACAGTGATATTCGCCGTTAAAATATACAATGAGAATATTTTTTTTTTTTGTTTGTTCTGTATTTTTATCCTTTCGTTAACCCTCTCCTTTTTAAATCTCTTCATCTCTCTCTGATTTTTATATTTTTTATATTCATTATATTTTTATACAATATATTTCATCTTGATGTTTAATGGTACTGCTTCTATTGTTTAATTCTATGAATTCATTTCCTCCTTCTTCTGGATTATTTTTTCAAATTTGTTCATATAAAAAAATTTATGTCCACTCCTTTTTTATGGTGACGTTTCCAACGCTGGTTCACGAATAATTTTTTCTAATCCATAATTTAAATATCTATAAAATTTATTCATAGGTTTTTTCCTATTTATATAAATATTTCTAGCCTTTTTAAATTTAAATTACAATTAAATCATTTCCTAAAACAAATTTTGATCTCTTTCATCCAATCCCCATGACAATTTTTATAATTCTTTGTTTTATTAATTTCCTTTCACAGGCATATTTCAACCTCGTTTTTCCTATTGGTTTAGGATTAATTTTTTAAAACTTGAATTTTAAAACCTTTTATTCTTTTCAATTTTTTTCTTTTCATTATTTGAAATCAAGGAAAATATTCCTAATGTATATTTTTAAATATAAATATATAAAAATATAATATAAAAATCACCAGAATTTCCCAATAATTATAATATAAATCCCATATAATATATAACTAAATATATTCTAATTCCTCAAGTGGACCAAATCACAGACACTTCATGATTTAATACAACATAAAGTTCTAAGTTAACAAAACATCTTTAAAAACAAATCTGTAAAATGTTTCATTTTTATTTTAAAATATGACATATTAAATTTTAAATTCAAATTTTTAATGGATAATCCTATAAAAAATATCTAATGATCAAATTCCTAAAACTTATTTAATTAATATTTATATAAATATTATAATTATTTTCTTTAATCAAAGGCACATAAATCATATTCTTTTTTTTTTTCCAATCCTTTATAACAAAAAGGTAATTCCTCTATACATTCAAGTCCTTTATAAAAAAATAAATAAATCTTATATGCATTTTAATTGTTTTTTAAAAAAAAAGTTTTTACCCTGACAATATTTATAAAAATACATATATACTGGCTTATCTCAAATTCTATCATTTATAACACAGACATTACCCGACAAAACAATTAAAATAAATATAACTATATATATATATATATATATATATATATATATATATATATATATATATATATATATATATATATATAGATAACTAGACTCGTTTCGAAAAAACCTCGAATTTTGATTTGCTAATCAAATCAATCTCGAGGGAAAAAAAAGGTTTAAAAAAAGAAAGAGCTACAAACATGAACTTCTGCCGACAAAAAAAAAATCGTAGATGCAGGTCTGAAGCCCAAAGAAAAAACCCCGATACGCCTAACACTATACAGGGTTTGGTATATATATATAAATATTATATATTTATATTTGTTTATTTTTATATTGTTCTGTTTAGATATAAAGATTTCAAACAAAAGATATATTATGAGATTTATGAAATCTTACAATTGTGTGAGAGAAAAAAGTGTAAAAAACCATGACGTCTTAAGACACAAACATAAAATTTTTTTTTTAAAACGGTTTCTTAAAGCAGTTCTTCAAATCAGGAAATGTTTTCTCTTTTTCATGTTTTAAAAAGTCAGTATACAATTAAAAAATATTCCGATTTTTGTGTTTTCCCTCTTTAATTAATTTTTCCTCCTGTTCGTCAAGGAATACGAAAATAGACAGAAACAAAAATTTTGTCTTAGAAAAAAACAAATTCTTAAAATATTTTGTCTTCAAAGAAACATGAAAAAATGTTTTTCCTTTTCAAATTTTTTGGAAAATAGCATATATTCAATATGAGATAAAGAAAAAGAACATATTTCAAAAAGGGTTCCTCTCTTGAATGAAGGATCACCTCAAAAAAGAAAATTTAATAATAAAAATTAAAACAATCTTTTATGAATATAAAGACATCTTTTAGCTAAAAGATAAATGACATAAAGATGCGGCAAGTATTTATAAAAAACCTGTCGAGGTCGAGAAACGAAAGAAGGTGATCAAAAAATGCGCAGTCAAATTGAAACCAATTACGCGCTAAGTCAATGAAAGTTTTTAAAGAAAGGAATGGTCATCCCACAAAGATTGAGACAAAGAAAAAGGTAAGATGAAAAAGAAAATTTTGTTATCATAAGAAAACAACAAAATTTATTAATTCATTGTTCTGACGAAATCTTTTTTTAAAATATCGATATTTCGATTGTAACTAGGCTCAATATTTTAAAAATTGCTTTAAATTTTTGAAAATTTTTTCTCATAAAACAATATTAAATCTTAAAAATCTATCATGTTCTGTTTCCTCTCAACCAAAAAAAATTATCGACTGAATAAAGGGACATTACATTTTATTTATAAGTTAATTTAAAATGAATAATCAAAAATTAATCACTAATACAATTAATTCGATTTGGATCGATCCAAGTAATATCTAACGCATATTATTCATCTTTTTATTATTTATCTCCAGTTTTTTTCCATGAAAATTTTCCTAATAATTTTAAAGGAAACATCATGTCTTATCTTCAAATTAAATATATCTTTTCTATCATATCTATCTATCTATCTATCTTTCTATCTAAAAAATCTATCTAAAATGTTCAAATTATCCTATCTATCTATCTATCCAATAATCTATCTATCTATCTATCTATCTCATAAATGTTCATATCTATCTGATCTATCCTATCTAAATATCTATCTATCTATTGATCCATCTATTTTCTAAATATCCATCCTTGTTTTTATCTTCTTTATCTATCATCATTTCTATTTATCTATCTCAATCATTATATCTATAGATCTATTTATCAGAGAGATCATCTTGCTATCTATCTTATCTATCTCATATCTATCCTATCTATCTCTTCCTGTCCCTCTATCTGTTTTATATGGAGATAAAAAATTCTATAATCTTCTTCCTATCCAATCTATCTATCTTTCAGTTTCTTTCTGTCTACAATTTCATTCTAAATGTCAAATCTATCTATCTTTTCTTTTTCATTCTATCAATCTATTCCTGTCTATCTATCTATCTATCTATCTATCTATCTATCTATCCATCTATCCTATCTATCTATCTGTCTATCTATCTATCTATCTATCTATCTATCTATCTATTTCGTATCTATCTATCTACTATCTATCTATCTATCTATCTATCTATCTATCTATCTATCTATCTATCCTATCTATCTCTATCTATCTATCTATCTATCTATCTATCTATCCTATCTATCTATCTATCTATCTATCTCTATCTCTTCATCTTTCTATCTATCTATCTATCTATCTATCTATCTATCTTTCTATCTTTATTCCAATCTATCTCATTCTTGCTATCTATCTATCTATCTATCTATCTATCTATCTATCTATCTATCTATCTATCTATCTATCTATCTATCTATTATCTATCTATGGATATATTCCTTCCATCTATCTATCTATATATCTATCTATCTATCTATCTATCTATCTATCTATCTATCTATCTATCTATCTTTGTTCTATCTATCTATCTCTATCTATCTGTCTATCTATCTATCTATTTCATATCTTCTATCTATCTATTCTATCTATCTATCTATCTATCTCTATCTATCTATCTATCTATTTATCTATTGTTATCTATCTATCTATCTATCTATTATCTCTATCTATTCATTTCATCTATCTTCTATCTATCTATCTATCTATCTATTCTATCTATCTATCTATCTATTGTAAATATCCATCCTATCTATCATTGATCAATATATATCTTTCATTATCATCTATCTATTCATCTATCTATCTATCTATCTATCTATCTATCTATCTATATCTGTCTATATCTATCTATCTATCTATCTATTATCTATCTCATCTATCTATTCATCTATCTATCTGTATCTTTATCCTATTATCCCATCTATCTATCTATCTATCTATTATATTCTATCTATCTATCTATCTATCTTTTTTTTATATTTCTAAACATCATGCATTTCATTTCTATCATATCTATCTATCTATCTATCTATCTTTCTAACTATCTATCTATCTATCTATCTACTAAATCCATCTATCTCATTATCTTTATGATAATCTGTCTATCTACCTATCTATCTATCAGTCTGTTCTATCTATCTGAATATCTATCTATCTATTATCTATCTATCTATCTATCTATCTATCTATCTATCTGTTCTAATCAATTAATAACATCTATCATATGTCTAAGATATATGGTCTATTCCTTCCATCTTCTATCTATCCATTTATCTATCTATCTATCAATCTATCTATCTATCTAATTATCTATCCTATACATCTATCATTGGCAGTCTAAGGATTTCAAAATTCCTTCTATCTATCTATCTATCTATCTATCTATCTATCTATCTATCTATCTATTTAATTGTTCTTCTATCTTATCATTGTTTCTGTTCATTTTTTTCATTCCTATCCATCTATCTATCTTTTTATTCTATCTATCTATCTATCTATCTATCCTATCTATCTATCTATCAATTGTTTCATTAAGCATAGAATATCTATCTTGGCATTTATCATTTATGTCTTTCTATCTTCATCTATCTATCTATCTATCTATCTATCTATCTATCTATCTCTCTATCTGAAATTATTATACATCTATCTATCCCCAGTCTGTTCATTTCATTCTTTCATTCCTTCCATTATCTATCTATCTATCTATCTATCTATTTATCTATCTATCTATCTATCTATCTATCTAATTTTAATTTCTTTTTCTTCATCTATCATTGGCAAAAATATTCATTGGATCTTTCATTCCATTCCATCTATCTATCTATGGATTTATCTATCTATCTATCTATCTTTCTATCTATCTAATTGTTTTACCATTTGTCTATCATTTTAGTCTGTTCATTTCTTTCATTCCTTCCATCTATCTATCTATCTATCTATCTATCTATCTCCTATCTATCTATTATCTATCTTCTAATTGTTTGATTTTCATACATCTATCATTGGCAGTCTGTTCAAATTTCTTTCATTCCTTCCATCTATCTATATCTATCTATCTATCTATCTATCTATCTATCTATCTATCTAATTGTTAATTTTAATCTATCATTGGCAGTCTGTTCATTTCTTTCATTTTCCATCTATCTTTCTATCTATCTATCTATCTATCTATCTATCTATCTATCTATCTATTTTTGTTAATTATTTATCTATCTATCATTGGCAGTCTTTTTAATTTCTTTCATTCCTTCCATTCATCTATCTATCTATCTTCTATTTATCTATCTATCTATCTATATCTAATTGTTAATTACCATACATCTATCATTGGCAGTCTGTTCATTTATTCTTTCCATTCCGCAGCTTCTTTGAAATCTATCTATCTATCTATCTTTTATCTATCTATCTATTTATCTATCAGGTTCTATTTATTTAAACTGTTAAAACCATCTATCATTATTTAGAGTTATCATTTCTTTCCATTTTTATTTTCTATCTTGGGATCTATCTATCTATCTATCTATTTATCTATCTAATTGTTAAACTGCCATACATCTATCATTGGCAGTCTGTTCATTTCTTTCATCCTCCTTCTATAAATCTCTATCTATCTATTTATCTATCTATCATCTAAATGTTTTTTTAATCTAATTTTTTTTGGCAGTCTGTTTTTTTTCTTTCATTCCATTCATTATCTTTATCTATCTATAAAATCCAATTATCTATCTTATAATCTATCCAATTCATCCATCTACCATATTAAATTAAGAAATTCTGTTCACTTCAAAATCCTGTTATTTCTCACTTGCACTTTGTCTTGTCTTTCCGTATTTGTTGTCTGGTCGTTCATGTCCTTGTTCGAATTCATTTTTTTTTTTTTAAATGGATTAAAAATAATTGGCCAACTTTCTTCCCATTACTTTTTTTTTCTTGATTTTTTTTTTTCTCTTCTATCTAAGCAATTTTATGTCGAAGAGCTGAGATCGCCCTTTTTCCATAGGATATCAACAAGGAAAAAATTGTTAGCATACATGCATATCTGTCTAATTAATTATCCATCTAGGTATGTGTGTCAGAGAAACGATAGAAAATGACGTTAAAAGCCAATTCGGAATTATTTCCATGATTTGAATAATAATAAAAAATAATAACGGTAATAATGATATCTATTAGAACAGTTATAATAATAATTGCAGTAAAACATTTAAACTTCATCACCATGAATAATATCAATAGTGCAAAATCAACAACAACGAGAAAAGAGAAAAGAAAAAATCCATATAAAGAGAATTTTTTTTTTTTTTCCATTCCCTTTTTCTTTGAAAATTTCTTTCTTTTGTTGCAGATTTTCATTTTTTTTTTTATTTGCATTCTTTGATTATACTTGTTTGTATTGTTATTTTATTTCTTTCATTCTGTTTTCATTTTAGTGTCATTTTTTTTCCATTTTTTTTTTTTTTTTTTTAATGTCATTTCTTTCATTCTGTTTTCATTTTAGTGTCATTTCTTTCCTGTTTTTTTTTTTTTTCTTTTCTTTTTACTGTCATTTCTTTCATTCTGTTTTCATTTTTTCATTTTTCCTCGTTTTTTTTTCGTTCATTTTTTTTTCTGTTTTCATTTTAGTGTCATTATCTTTTCATTCTTTTTTTTTTTTCATTTTTTTTTCATTCATTTCTGTCATTTCTTTCATTCTGTTTTTTTTTTTGTCTTTTTTCCTCGTTTTTTTAATGTCATTTCTTTCATTCTGTTTTCATTTTAGTGTCATTTTTTCCTGTTTTTTTTTTCTTTCTTTTACTGTCATTCTCTTTTCATTTCTGTTTTTTTTAGTGTCATTTTTTTTCATTTTTTTTTTTGTCATTTCTTTCATTCTGTTTTTTTCATTTAGTGTCATTTTTTTCCTGTTTTTTTTCTTTTTTTTTTACTGTCATTTCTTTCATTCTGTTTTCATTTTTAGTGTCATTTCTTTCCTCCTTTTTCTTTTCTTTTTTTTTTACTGTCATTTCTTTCATTCTGTTTTTCATTTTAGTGTCATTTCTTTCCTGTTTTCGTTTTTTTTTTTTTACTGTCATTTCTTTCATTATGTTTTCGTTTTAGTGTCATTTTTTCATTGTTTTTTTTTTTTTACTTTCATTTCTTTCATTCTGTTTTCATTTTTTAGTGTCATTTCTTTCCTAATTTTTTTCTTTTTATGTCATTTTCTTTCCTTCTGTTTTTTCATTTCTCTCCTCATTTTTTTTTTCATTCTATTTCATTTCTTTCCATCCATCTTTTTTTTCTTTTTAATGTCATTTTTTCCTTCTTTTTCATTTAGTGTGTTTCATTTCCATCTTTTTTTTTCCATTTACTGTCATTTCTTTCCTTCTGTTTTCATTTTATCTCATTTTCTCCTCGTTTTTTTTTCTTTTTCTGTTTCTTTCTTTCCTTCTGTTTTCATTTTAGTCTCATTTCTCTCTTTTTTTTTTCTTTTAACTGTCATTTCTTTTCTTTCTTCTTTTTCATTTTAGTCTCATTTCTTTCCACGTTTTTTTTCTTCTTTCTACTGTCATTTCTTTCCTTCTGTTTTCATTTTTTTAGTCTCATTTCTCTCTCTCTTTTTTTTTTTCTTTCTACTATTCATTTCTTTCCTTCTGTTTTCATTTTAGTCTCATTTCTCTCCTCATTTTTTTTCTTTTTTTTTCATTTCTTTCCTTCTTTTTTTTTTTTCTTTTTTTTATTCATTTCTTTTCCTTCTCTTTTCATTTTTTGTCATTTCTTTCCATCGTTTTTTTTCTTCTTTCTATTGTCATTTCTTTTCCTTCTGTTTTCATTTTTTAGTCTCATTTCTCTCCTCGTTTTTTTTTTTTTCACTGTCATTTCTTTCCTTCTGTTTTCATTTTAGTCTCATTTCTCTCCTCGTTTTTTTTTTTTTTTTTCTTTACATTTTCTTTTCCTTCTGTTTTCATTTTAGTCTCATTTCTCTCCATCGTTTTTTTTCTTTTTCTATTTTATTTCTTTCCTTTCTGTTTTCATTTTTAATTCATTTCTCTCCTCATTTTTTTTTTTTTTTTTCTTTCTTCATTTCTTTCTTCTGTTTTCATTTTAGTCTCATTTCTCTCCTCGTTTTTTTTTCTTTTTGTCATTTCATTTCCTTCTTTTTTTTTCATTTTTACTGTCATTTTTCTCCTTCTGTTTTTTTTTTAGTGTCATTTTTTCTTCTTTTCTTCATTTGTCATTTCTTTCCTTCTGTTTTCATTTTAGTCTCATTTCTCTCCTGGTTTTTTTTTTTTTCTACTGTCATTTCTTTCCTTCTGTTTTCATTTTAGTCTCATTTCTCTCCTCGTTTTTTTTTTTTTCTTTCTATCATTTCTTTCCTTCTGTTTTCATTTTAGTCTCATTTCTCTCCTTTTTTTTTTTCTTTTTCTACTGTCATTTCTTTCCTTCTGTTTTCATTTTAGTCTCATTTCTCTCCTTTTTTTTTTTTCTTTCTATCATTTCTTTCCTTCTGTTTTCATTTTAGTCTCATTTCTCTCCTCGTTTTTTTTCTTCTTTCTACTGTCATTTCTTTCCTTCTGTTTTCATTTTAGTCTCATTTCTCTCCTCTCGTTTTTTTTTTCTTTTTCACTGTCATTTCTTTCCTTCTGTTTTCATTTTTAGTCTCATTTCTATTCCTCGTTTTTTTTTCTTCTTTCTACTGTCATTTCTTTCCTTCTGTTTTCATTTTAGTCTCATTTCTCTCCTCGTTTTTCCTTTCTTTCACTGTCATTTCTTTCCTTCTGTTTTCATTTTAGTCTCATTTCTCTCCTCTTTTTTTTTTTTTTCTTCTTGTCATTTCTTTCCTTCTGTTTTCATTTTAGTCTCATTTCTATCCTCGTTTTTTCCTTCTTTCTACTCATTTTCTTTCCTTCTGTTTTTATCATTTTAGTCTCATTTCTCTCCTCATTTTTTTTTTCTTTCACTGTCATTTCTTTCCTTCTGTTTTCATTTTAGTCTCATTTCTCTCCTCGTTTTTTTCTTTTTTCTTTCTATCTCATTTCTTTCCTTCTGTTTTCATTTTAGTCTCATTTCTCTCCTTCCTTTTTTTTTTCTTTCTTTCTACTGTCATTTCTTTCCTTCTGTTTTCATTTTAGTCTCATTTTCTCCTTTTTTTTTTCTTTTCTTTCTACTGTCATTTCTTTTCTTTCCTTCTTTTTCATTTTAGTCTCATTTCTCTCCTTTTTTTTTTTTCTTTCTACTGTCATTTCTTTCCTTCTGTTTTCATTTTAGTCTCATTTCTCTCCTCATTTTTTTTCTTTCTTTCTTTTATCTATCTGTTTTCATTTATCTCATTCCTTCTGTTTTTTAATTTTAGTCTCATTTCCTTCTGTTTTCATTTCTTTTTTTTTTTTTTTCTTCTATGTCATTTCTTTCCTTCTGTTTTCATTTTAGTCTCATTTCTCTCCTCGTTTTTTTTTTCTTTTCTACTGTCATTTCTTTCCTTCTGTTTTCATTTTAGTCTCATTTCTCTCCTCGTTTTTTTTCTTCTTTCTATCTGTCATTTCTTTCCTTCTGTTTTCATTTTAGTCTCATTTCTCTCCTTCATTTTTTCTTTTCTTTCTACTGTCATTTCTTTCCTTCTGTTTTCATTTTAGTCTCATTTCTCTCCTCGTTTTTTTTTCTTTTCACTGTCATTTCTTTCCTTCTGTTTTCATTTTAGTCTCATTTCTCTCCTCTTTTTTTTTCTTCTTTCTACTGTCATTTCTTTCCTTCTGTTTTCATTTTAGTCTCATTTCTCTCCTCGTTTTTTTTTCTTTCTTCTACTGTCATTTCTTTTTCCTTCTGTTTTCATTTTAGTCTCATTTCTCTCCTCGTTTTTTCTTCTTTCTACTGTCATTTCTTTCCTTCTGTTTTCATTTTAGTCTCATTTCTCTCCTTCCCTTTTTTTTCTTTCTACTGTCATTTCTTTCCTTCTGTTTTCATTTTAGTCTCATTTCTCCCTCGTTTTTTTTTTCTTTTCATTGGCATGTCATTTCTTTTTTCTTCTGTTTTCATTTTAGTCTCATTTCTCTCCTCTTTTTTTTTCTTTTTTACTGTCATTTCTTTCCTTCTGTTTTTTTTAGTCTCATTTCTCTCCTCGTTTTTTTCTTTTTCTATCTATCTGTCATTTCTATTTCCTTCTGTTTTCATTTTAGTCTCATTTCTTAATCCTTTTTTTTTTTTTTCTTTCATTCCTACTGTCATTTCTTTCCTTCTGTTTTCATTTTAGTCTCATTTCTCTCCTCTTTTTTTTTTTCTTTCTACTGTCATTTCTTTCCTTCTGTTTTCATTTTAGTCTCATTTCTCTCCTCATTTTTTTTTTTCTTTCTACTTCATTTCTTTCCTTCTGTTTTTTCATTTTAGTCTCATTTCTCTCTCCTTTTTTTTTTTTTCTTTTACTTCATTTCTTTTTCCTTCTGTTTTCATTTTTTTAGTCTCATTTCTCTCCTATTTTTTTTTCTTTCTATTTCATTTCTTTCCTTCTGTTTTCATTTTTAGTCTCATTTCATCTATCATTTTTTTTCTTCTTCCTACTGTCATTTCTTTCCTTCTGTTTTCATTTTAGTCTCATTTCTCTCCTCGTTTTTTTTCTTTCATCTGTCATTTCTTTCCTTCTGTTTTCATTTTAGTCTCATTTCTCTCCTCTTTTTTTTCTTCTTTCTACTGTCATTTTTTTCCTTCTGTTTTCATTTTAGTCTCATTTCTCTCCTCGTTTTTTTTTTTTTTCTTTCTCTACTGTCATTTTCTTTTCCTTCTGTTTTCATTTTAGTCTCATTTCTCTCCTCGTTTTTTTCTTCTTTTACTGTCATTTCTTTTCCTTCTGTTTTCATTTTAGTCTCATTTTCTCCTCGTTTTTTTTTCTTCTTTCTACTGTCATTTCTTTCCTTCTGTTTTCATTTTAGTCTCATTTCTCTCCTTCGTTTTTTTTCTTCTTTCTACTGTCATTTCTTTCCTTCTGTTTTCATTTTTTTTCTCATTTCTCTCCTCGTTTTTTTTTCTTTCTACTGTCATTTCTTTTTCTTCTGTTTTCATTTTAGTCTCATTTCTCTCCTCGTTTTTTTCTTTCTTTCTGTCATTTCTTTCCTTCTGTTTTCATTTTTAGTCTCATTTCTCTCCTCTCCTTTTTTTCTTTCTTTTTCTACTGTCATTTCTTTTTCTATTCTTTTTTTCATTTTAGTCTCATTTCTCTCCTCGTTTTTTTTCTTTCTACTGTCATTTCTTTCCTTCTGTTTTCATTTTTCATTTAGTCTCATTTCTCTCCTCTATTTTTTTTTCTTTCTATCTCATTTCTTTCATTTCTGTGTTTTCACTTTAGTATCAGTTCTTCGTTTGTGTTTTCATTTTAGTTTCATTTCTTTCCTTCTATGTTTCTTTTTCGTATCATTTCTTTTCATTGAGTTTCCTTTTTAGTGTTATTTCTCTCGTTCTGTTTTCTTTTTAGTATCATTTCTTTCCTTCTGCGTTTTCTCTTTGGGGTTTCTTTCTTTCATTCTGTTTTTTTTTTAGTGATATTTCTTTCATTCTGTGTTTTCTTTTTTCATTTGTCATTTCTTTCCTTCTTTCTGTGCTTTGTTTTTTCGTGTCATTTCTTCCCTTGTTTTTCTTTCTTTCTTTTTTTTTAATTCATTTCTTTCATTCAGTTTTCATTTTAGTCTCATTTCTTTCCTTGTTTTTCTATCTTTTTTCTACTGTCATTTCTTTCCTTCTGTTTTCATTTTAGTCTCATTTCTTTCCTCGTTTTTTTTTACTGTCATTTCTTTTTTCGGTCTTTTTCAATTTAGTGCCATTTTTCCTTGTGTTTCCTTTTTTTAGTGTCATTTCTTTCCTTCTATTTTCTTTTTAGTGTCGTTTTTTTATTTTTTTTTTTTTTCTGCCATGTCTTCATTTCATTCTCTGTTTTTTTTTTTAGTGTCATTTCCTTGTCTGTGTTTTCGTTTTAGTGTAATTTCTTTCTTTCTGTGTTTCCTTTTCAGTCTTATTTCTTTCGTTGTGTTTTCATTTTACTGTCAATTCTTTCCTTTGTTTGTTTTTTTGGTGCCATTTCTTTCCTTGTCTTTTTTAGCGTCAATTCTTTCCTTCTTTTTTTTTTTTTTTTTTTAGTATTCTTTCTTTCTGTCTTTTTTTTGTTTTCTTGTCATTTCTTTCCTTCTGTGTTTTTTAGTGTCATTTCTTTTTTTTAAGTGTTTCCTTTTTAGCGTCATTTCTTTTTTTAAGTGTTTCCTTTTTTAGTGTCATTTCTTTCCTTGTTTGTTTTTTTTTTTTTCTTGTCATTTCAGTCCTTCCTTCTCTATTTTCCTATATCTTTATACAATACCTGGTCATATCTATGGAATACAATTCAAATGTTAAAACCACCATTTTAAAAATATCTATCTAAGTCTACATATCAATCTTCTATCTATCTATCTATCTATCCATGTTGTAACATCACTACAAAAATAGCCATTACACCGGATATGTTGTAACTAAATTTTTATTTTTTTCATATGTATCTATCTCATCTATATTATAATTTTATTCATATTATATATATGTTCATATATATATATATATATGTATCTATGTATCTATATTATAAATTTCATATCTATCTATCTACACATTTCTATCTATCTATCTATCTAAAAATGGAATCTAAAAGCCTCCAATTTAATTTGAGCAAAGAAATTCTATATGTAATCCTTTCCTCAACCTCACATATATTTTCTGATTTAATTGCTGGGTTTTAAGGAATACATCTAAATCATAATTCAACCTCCAATGTCGTTTGAATCCATCTTACTATACTTGGGGAAGCTATGTACTTCTGTATCAGTTTATTTATCGCTCAGATAACAAAATTTCTGTTGCAACAACAATTCTAATATGTGTGTCATATCTCGCATCAACTGGATGCGTAAATTGATATACAAATTAACGTTTGTCAAACCTGTATAATCATCTTTCTATTGTATGGAAAAATAAAACATGCACATTTAGTCTATGTTTTCATTCTTAAAATTTTCATGATGTTGTCATTCATCAGAGTCGGAATAATATTATTGACAGATCTGCAACAATTTAGAAACAGTTTTCAATTTTAATTGTGTCTTTTATACTAAAAACTAGAATTTTTCTATATCTAAAAAATTAAAAAATAAAGTTAATTAAACCTTTTGATATCTCATGACTTTAATATTCTAAAACTCGCTTGAGTTAATCCTACTCACTCTCTCTTTGTCTCACTTTGTTAAATACTCTCCACCTCACAAACACACACAATGGTTTACAAGAAAATGTTCCCATAAATTGTCACCCATTTTTTCATTTGGTTTATTTTCAAAGGATATTTTTAAATTTCTTAACATCATTTGTTATATCGACGGCAGTCATTTTTCTTTATTTATAGAAACGGTAAAACTAATTCATTATGATAATCTTAGCCTAATCAAGAACCTGGTAAGACTACTTTCCCACACCGAACATATACCTTTTATCTATTACCTTTCTTCTTCAGTAACTCTCTCAGACCAGGCAGCTCTTGAACCTTGGATGTGAGAACACATTAATACATATCTTTGCCCCCATTGGTAAGTGTTACCCCACCGGAACCATTCTACATTCAATGAACGAACAAAACCTGTTACTCTCGGTTGAAATTTATAAATTCTTTTTCTGAAAACATTTTTTAGAAATGAAAATTTTCATATCCATTACCATATATAAATTCTTGTATCGATGGAGATTGCTTCCAACTTTTATCGATATTGAAAATGCTTTAAAAAATATATTAAGTTTTGTTATTTTTCAGCATACATCCATCATTTTTTAGAACTTAGTTTCGTCCTGGGTTTGACGATAAACTCACCATCCGGTCCTGGGCATTTTTCTGAATAAACTCCATCCGTGTAATCAATTTAAAACGATTTTTTCAGATTTAACATTTGTCCTGGTTTGCAGTAATAAAGATCCTTAATAATAATTGTATGATGAAATTTGGTCGCCTGAGGATCGTGGGGAGACTGAAACATAATTGCGACTTTTCTCCTAGGTTGAACTTGCACTTTGTCTCAACTGTTATTTCTTGTCCTACGGCCATAGTCTGCTGAAACGTTACTCAAAAAGCATAAATTGCAACGCTGAAAAGAATCAAAATAGTTTTTTCTTGTTCGTGAATACTATGTAAAAAATATTAACTCATCTTGAATTTAAATTTTTTAAGAAAAAACTGGTCAATCTGCAATATTTTTGAAAAAAAATATTACCAGCTATACAATCTCGAGTAAAAAAAAAATAATACCGAAGTACATATTTGACAAAGGCAAAAATATTACCAGGAAAAAGTTATCGGCATTAAAGCCCATTGAAGTGTTGATATGCCCTAAAACAAAAACCTATAACGCAACTCAGTTTGTCTTCAAGTGATGGAGTTTTTGTTATTTGGTAATCTCTTTGTAATATTGTAGCGCCAGTTTTCAAGATCACGAGGAAGATCGATGATATTTTTAAGGTTTATGGGATTTAATCTTTTTGAAACTTTTCATCCATTGATCAGAAGAAAAAAACGATTGTTTTATGTATTAGCTTAGACTTATCTGAATAGATTACAGAGTCCATGTACAACATTCTTATAGGAATCTTGATACGACGAGAATATTTAAAACATAAATTATTCTCCAGTTAATATTTTAGCTTTGAAGCATCTTACGTTGTCGGACAAAACATCTCTAGTTCAACTGGATCAGCTGCTAAGAAAGTCAGTTCACAGTGTCGGTCAAAATAATTTTTCTCTCTGGAATTTTCTTGCATCTCAAATCTATCATTCAACCTGGTTAGAATATTTTCTGCCCAGTATGGTGAAGCCTCTACTAATTTCCTGGATTCTTGATAAGATCAAAAGAAGAATCAAATGATTGGTCCTAACCTGGTGGCTCGGCTTAAATAGAATTGAGATCATCGTAAGGTTGCCTCTCTGTGCCTTTTTTTTACAAATACTTTCATGGTAATCGTTTACGCACAACATGAGATTGGAGGAAAGATCTCATCAATTTACAGTAGAGCTAGCTAGATGTTGCAACTATGTTAATGGTTTCTTATCTCACTTCTCTCGTTTGTGGAAATCCTTCCAATTCCATTCTTTCCAGCCAACTTTAAACTGCAAAACTTTAAAATGCTAATAACAATCCTTTATCTACTGTATTCTTGATTGCCCTTTTCTTTCTCCTCATTATTAATTTTTCTATTCAAATTCTTTAAAATTTATTATCCCTTGCGAGCTAGTTGCTATGCTGCCTTGCTTTATGAAAAAAGAATTTTTTTCAATTTTTCTAGACTACTATACTATTTTTTATAAGTGATCCATACAACTAAATATCTAAATTGTTTAAATTTTAATAACTTCAACAATTTCCTATTTTTGTTGGATTCAGTGTATTGATTTGGTTGAGTGTTTTTGTTTATATCAACACTTCTATGGGTTATTTAATGCCGAAATCTAAATATTTTGTACGTATTTTATTTTTTATTTTTGGAAATGAAATGGTTTTAATGGTACAGGTCTTACTAATTATATCAGTAACTGGGGAAGAAAAGGTGGGTTCATGCCTTCAATATTATTTGCGTGAAGTGAATATAACAAACCAAGCTTCAGCTCTCAATTAACAATTCTGAGCCATTATCCATTACACCACCTGAAATCTAGGTTACCAGAACCTGCTATTCCCAGTGGTCACCCATAGATTCTTCAGTTAGCTTCTGCGTTCTGCGTTTGTGACAGCTGAACCTATTTTTCAAAATTTATTTACTCAATCACTATTCCAACTCATTGCCATTCAAATTACATTTTTTTATTTAAAAGTTTAATTTGTTTATTTTATTTCATTTTATATCCCAAAAAAACCTTTCATATTTCCTCAGTTTTATAAATCATTAAATATATCTTCTTTTCTTTTCCTTTAAAATAAAAAAAATTTTCTCCTTCAAAATAAAATTTTCTCAGCAAGTTCGTAAACTATTTTGAATCCGTATTTCATCGTGAATTTACTCTTTTAAACTAAAATATTCTCTGTCATTCTAGATGAGTTCTATACACTTAAAATGCTTTAAGATATATTCAATATTTAATGCTTCCTTTTACAACGGGTTTCCATATAATTTTATATTTAGGAGGTACATTTTTATCAGATCTCGTGTTTCAAATTATTAAATAAAAACCATTCGTATTGAAGTTTTAAAAATTAATATTGTTTTTCCGGTCTATGGAAAAGGCGATCTATCTATCCTATCTATCTATCTATCTATCTATCTTGTCTTGTTGAATTCCCATGTATCTTCCATTTCAAATTTCAATCAGTTTTTGTTTCAGTATGTGCGATAATTTCTATCTATATTTTCCTTTTCAATTATCAAAGTTTATCTCATGGTTCTCAATTTCTATCTTCAATCTATCTATATCATATATCGCTTTTAATTTTTTTCTCTCTTCATCTCTTATTCAAATTTATCTCTATCTATATATATTCTATCACATTCAATATCTATCTATATACCGCTTATCCCAAAATTTAACATGTGCCCCTATTTTCATTCAATCTCTTTCTCAGCTGGTTATTTTTTAAAGAAATTCATCATCTATCAGTTCTAATCTTTAAAATCACTCTGGCAAATTCCTGCTATCTTCCTTAATTCAAACTGTCTATAATCAGTTCTCGTAACTTTATCTATCTTATAAATAATTTTTTTAATTCATCATCGCATCCTCTTTCCTTCAGTTCCTACTATCTAATTTTTTCCATATTTGAATCTATCTACTTTTTTATCTCTATTTTCTTTAAATATTTAAAATTCCCACTAAAAATTTTTTTTTTCCTAACGTTAATTTTCTACTATCTATGGTCTGGAAGTCATCCTATGTAACAATGGATGGCCCAGCAATTTTCTATAGATTTTTTAAAAATTTCTACATGCATATTTCCAAATTTTGATAACTATTATTTCTTTCCGTGAAACAATTTTTTGTAATCCATTTTTCAATTCTTTTACCGATTATCTCTATATGGTTTTTTGAGTGAAGGAACAAATGTATATATCAGATCCCAAGTATCTCCTACAAACAATGATTTGATTTACTAATTAAAATCTGTTCAAATTTTACAATCTAAATGTAAACTAAATTGTGGGATAACTTGAAAAATCAATCTTGGACTCTTCTAAATAATTTGGATTTGTCTCTGAATGTCTAATTTTCAATATCGAGTTTTGCATTAATCTATTTGATTCTGAATCCGAAAAATATTTTGGATCTTATAAAAACATATTGTTAATATTCAGTTTTCAAATCTTTTTATCTATATATATAAAAAATAAAATCTTTTTTTTATCTTTATTTTTTGTTTAGGCCCTTTTCTAATAATGGATTTTAATATAAAGGCTTCTGTTTTCTCTAATTTTAGTTTAGGTTCTAACATTTCTATCTATCTATATTTTCGTATAAACGCATCAACAAAACAATTAATAAATTCACTCTCAAATAAAATAAATAAAAATCTGTCCATCTTTATTTTACATTTCAGGTTATGCTGGAAAATGTTTTTAAATTACTTGGGTATCTAAGTGTTCTTTTTAATTTCACATTTGAATTTTCTATTTATCTAATATTTTTAATCAATTTTTTCAAATATTTTTTAATTTAATTTAAATCTGTTTTCAAATCTCGATCCTATATATGTCTATAATTTTCTTCAGTTGTCTAATACAAAACTATTAACCTAAAGTAAAATAAAGGTCATAATATCTTTATCTTTCCCGCAAAATTTTTAATATCAATTAAAAATTTTCTTTTTGGCATTTTTTTTTTCCTAAATATATGTTTAACATTTCGTTTATATTTTGTCTTCGATTTTATATTTGGACAATTCATAATCTATATTTAGAATGTTTCCACTAATAAATATCTGTCTACAATTCTTGTTTCTGAAAAAAATCATACCTAAACATTTTGCTATTAATTTTTCATTTAAAAACTTAAAGTCTCACCAGGATTTGTTTCTTAATTTTTTTCATCTTCAGATTCCTCGTTCTGACTGAGGCTTTTCTCGTTCCTATTTTTTTCTTTCTATTTCTTTTATAATGGCTTTCTAATTAAAAATTTATAATTCTTTTTCATAATAAAAAAAAAAGAGATACTTTACCAGAAATGCCAATTCCTACTTGTAAAAGTGCTGTTTGTCCTGGAAGGAGACTACTTATTTTAAATTTTACTATCTTTTGTAAAATGAAAGATTTTCCATCCGGAATTCCAAATAAATTATTTTTTTTTCACTTTTTAACATCCTAAAAATCTTCCCAAAAGTTTTCATATCTAGTTTCTGAAATTTTCCGTTGTATTTGTCAAAAATTTTTATCCTGAAAAGTATTCCCTGTATCGTATCTAATTCCTTGAAGCTATATTTCCCAAGGCACTTCTTTTTGTAATTTTGCTATCCATCTGATCTTTGTATAAGTTTTTTCAAAATGGTTTTGCAATCGACATTCATACGGTCAAATTTTTCCGGATAATTTTTTGTATTTTTCCACTTTTGTCAAATTTAATTTTTGGAAAATATACTGGTTATTGAAAAAAGGACAAATTAATTGTTCTTTTCTTTTCTTCTTCGTTTCTATCCGATTCTTTAATTCGGCTGTAATTTTATCCTTCAAAACGTTCTTTTATTTTCATTTTTCTCTCTAATAGATTTTCCTTCTATTTCGTCATATCTTACTGTTCTTTTGAAAGTTTCATTTTTCATTTATCTATAAATATTTCCCTAACCTTCATATTTCATCTCTTTTTTCTTTTATCGTCTTTATTTTAAAAAATATCTATCAAGCGATTTTTGGAAAAATACAAATCTCTCATTTGCTTCTTAGTCTTAATCTGACCCGTTTTTTTAGGATCTATTTCATCCCTATCTTATTAAACAGGGTTCAGAATTCTTAAGAAAATAAAATTGTTATATATTTTTATATTATATTTTTTAATATATCTGCAAACAATTATTGTAAATCTTCAATTTATCATAATGGTTTTTTGTCTCTGCGTGTAATACCCGTTATCTGGTCCATATTATCTCTCTCCTCTAAAATTAATAATAAAATGTTTGTATCAAATTTCTTCTCATAACAATTGTTTTTTCCCAGTATTGTCATCTCCTCTATAAATATAATTGATTTTTAATTTATTTAATTTGAATAAATATAATTAAAAAGGGCAAATTCTGAAAGTGTAACGAAAAGACATATAATAAATTTCGTTTTTTCATTTTTTTTAATATAATATTTTACCAGAAGTTTTCTTTTATTTATGTCTTGGTTTTTTCTTAAATTGTAAAATCACTGATATGTTTTGAAAACATATTTCAAATTTTATTGAAATATCATGTAACGAAAAGGAGAAATTTTAAAATAAGTTTTTAGAACAAAAAATCTTTTTAAGAACTCCATTTTTTAATGATAATTTTCTCTTTTTCTAAATTTTTCAATTTTAAATATCTTAAATTCAAAAATCCTCACTTTTTTTAAAAATTCTCAAATATTTATATTCATATACCACTAACCTAAATTATGTTTTTTGTTTTAAAGTTCAAAATTTAGCAAATTATCAATGCTCATTTGCGAACAATTTCTCATTTTTCGACGATTAATTTATGTTTAGTATTAATTTTAATTTGACAAAAACGCTTATAAATCATTATTTTTTTTAGGAAAATATAAAAAAAAAAAATTCAGACCATTTTCCTATATACGAAAAAAGTTATAACAAAAATTATGTTTTAATAATTCCAAAACAATTCTTTAATAAATATAGAACAATGCGGTTTTTTTAAAAAATTTTTGTGGAAAATTGGTTCTGAAAACTTGGTCATGTTTAAATATCGTCGGGCATGAATCAATTTAAACGCGTTTATCATCTACCAAAACTAAACCCTCTAAAATTTGAAAGTTCTTGATAATAAATAACTATTTATTCTTATTAAAAATAACATCCCAATATACTATTTATATACAATTTTTCAAAAATTTAAATACCTAAATTTTCTTTATAATTAAATTAATTTTCTTTCAACATTTCAATCCCTAAAAATGGTTTATAAAATATTACTTTCCAATTATAAAATATTTTTAATATTTATAAAAAATTTATATATATAAAATAATATAATTTATATATGGCTGCAGGCTTTTAATATATGTGTTGTTTTCATGTCAGAAAAAAATGAAATACTTTTTTTAAAGGATAATTGGATTTTATTTTCTGAGACTTCGTAATTTTCTTTTTCAGGTTCTTTCAGAACAAAAAATTTGAAATCTGTGTCAAATTTAGTCAAAAGAAATGTATTTTTCTGAAATCCTCCTAAGGTTCAAAAAAAAAGGTTCAGGAAAAATTAACGTTTCCATCGTTAATGTTCTATCATCCGTAACAATATAAAATAAAATCTTACCGTTGATATCTGTGTTCTGCTTCCCTAAAGAATGTAAGGATTAATCTGTTTTAAACATTTAAACATTTAAAATTATTTATTCTAATTTAAAAAATAGAAAACAAATTTCTTTCAAAACCCCAGTCGAATAAAACAAAAATTTCCTGGTTTTTAAATTATTGATATTCAAACTACTTTGGTTGTTCCTCCATCACAATTGTTCCATTTCTTTAGAACAAAAAAATAATAAATGAAATTTGCAAAATGAATCCTCTTTCTAATTTAAGAGTAAAAAATGTCTTCTTAAATCAATTGTCGAAGAAATGTTTTAACATCATAGTCGGAGATTCGATTCTGAATATAATGAGGTATTAAGATCTTTTTCTCAAAGGGTCAGACATGTTTTATGCTAAATAATTCCATACTTTGAATAAGGCATTCCCTTCATTAATCTAGATCATATATTTGGCATTGTTGTGGATTCCGAGATGAAATTCGGTCTCCAATGAATGACAAACGCAAGAATTAAATATAAGAAATAAAATGTATTTACACAATAATACAATGGGTAATACTGTTAGTAAATCCAGGAACGCGGTTAGTAGTAATATATAATAATAATATATATATATATATATATATAGTCTCATATATAGGACTTCCTTAGAGTCTACGTGCTTGTAACTGACTTCTACAAGTTTACCTCACACTATTACTCTACCTCCAACTCAATCACAATCACTCTTCTTACTCCAATCTCTATCTCCGTATATCTGACTCTGGGTATTTAACGGCAGCAGTCCCCATAACATTCTCTGGTCGAGTCCGCTTATATGAAAAAAGGGATGGACCCCATAACAATTTTCCGTTCTCAAAATTTTGAAGCATTCCGTTCAGAATCAGAGACTGGCAGCCGCTGATCTCTTCATTGACCTCGCTCCAATAATGGGGGAAAATATCCCACATTCAATGCTTTTTGCTTGTTTTGATTCCATCATCGCCGATCAGATCTCAGAACTATCACCAATCAGGATGAAACGGATGTTCCTTCAGGAGGCCCTGATAAGGACTTTCTCAACCCAGACCTCCATACGATCCGTCACTAAATAC